GTGCATTAAATTGAATGAACATGGTCTGGATAGCCCACAGACATACCATAAACATTTCTAGGGCCCATAATTGGTCTCCTTTAATAGTAAAACACTTAATGCAAGGGTAATTTGAAAAGCTGAAAGAAGGATAAAAAAGATTAACTTAGCTAAAATTAGCATAAAAACAAGCTAAAGGTAGCAGAAACAAATTGAAAATAGCACCCATACGATGAAAGGGGTAGAAAGAAAGTCTAATTAGCTGAATGAATTCATAAAAGTACAAAGAAATTGTTGTAAAATAGCTAAAACATCCCAAAAGTGCAGTAAAAGAGCTAAAATATAGCTGAAAATTCTTAAAGGGGCAATATCATGTAAAATCAACTTTTTTGAGTTTTATGTCATGTTATACTGTTATACTCTCATAAAAACATGCCTAAAGCCTTGCTCTGACTCATTCATGCATGTTTGAGAAATCCTGCAGAGTCCTGAGGCAGTCAGGCAGGGGAGCAAAAATGATAGGTTGGGACTAGAACCGCCTTTTGGGACCAGCTCCTCCTCTGGGCTGTGTCTCCGAGCCGAGCTTTCTCATCACAGAGCACACACACCCATGCACACACCCACCCAGCCCATGCTGAAACAGGCGGGACAGAAGCGGAAGGAGGTTCTTAAAGAGACAGAGGCCAATTTCTATTTAAACATAAAAACAGCATTTTAATAACAACTGAAGGTGACATAGTTACTTTACTATGATATAGAATTTAAATATATGCCTGAAAAACACATAATATTGCCCCTTTAAATGAGTTTTAACACAGCCAAGGCGCAGAGTAACAGGAGCCTGCTTTTCAAAGTTGAGCTTCAAAAAAAGAAAATAAAGCTTTTTGGACCAACTGACAACTCCAGTTGTCACCTGTGACTTACCATTGCAGCACATAAAGATAAGAATTACTTCATGTCTAACATAAGGTGCTGACATGTTCATTCATCCTAAAAAAATAAAAATAAATTAGGCCAATTCAGACTTGTCTATGTTGACAATCAACAGTCTGCACAGAAATGACAGTAGTCATTATTTGGTGGCCATATTGCATGGCCACGTGGTAATTATCGCGTGCTGTTGTGGCCATGCATTATAAGGCGTGGGCACACGATCGTTTTTCTTCTCCAATGTCCTCGGACGAGCTCTGTAGATTTATTATATCTTACCAGTTACCTTTTTTTTACAGTAGGAGGTTTGCGCAGAGGACAAGAAAGTCATTTTAATGAACTCAAATTGAATAAAAAGCCTAACAGTTTATTATCTATCCATCTATGCATTTTTGTTTACATTTTTCTCCTTAAAAGGAGCTGGTGCCTAGTCATTGAGTTGAGGGGGACA